TTGAATGAGGGATTGAAAAACGAATACTTAACTGTGAAAGATCCTGCGGATCTTTGAAAAGCTTTAAAAGAAAGATACGATCATCAGAAAACGGTAATTCTCCCCCGGGCTCGTTATGAATGGATGCACTTACGCTTCCAAGATTTTAAAACTGTAAACGAGTTCAATTCGGCCATGTTCCGCATTTGCTCGGTATTGAAATTATGCGGGGAAAGCATAACTGATTATGATATGCTTGAAAAAACGTTGTCTACATTCCACGCTTCAAACGTGCTTTTGCAGCAACAATACAGAGCAAAAGGCTTTGTGAAATATTCTGAGCTGATTTCTTGCTTGTTGCTAGCCGAACAAAATAATGAGCTGTTGATGAAAAATCATGAATCTAGACCCACGGGGTCTACTGCGGTCCCTGAGGTAAATGCTGTAATATCTAAACAGGGACCCAGAAATGAAAACAGCCAAAATTATGGACGTGGATATAACTCAGGTCGTGGTCGTGGCCGTGGACGTGGTCGTGGATATGGTCCAGATAGAAATTATGGAGGAGACCGAAATTTTTACCCGGGATACAAATCTGGCCGAGGTAATTATCGTGGACATGGAAAAAACGATGCCCAAAATTATGACAAAGGGAGGAATTTTCATAAAAATTCTGAAAATAATAAAGGGGAAGAAAAAGTTGTGAAAAATAACGATGAAAAGCCATGTTATCGATGTGGGAGAAATAACCATTGGGCTCGAAATTGTCGAGCCCCACCGCACGTGGTTGAAAGATATCAGGATTCCCAGAAAGCAAAAGAGAAAAATATTGAAACTAATTTTATGGTTGGGGAATCCTCTGAAAATGACGCAACACGTGTGGATGATGACTATGGCATCGATGACATATTGAAACTGGACTTTGCCGATGCGGCATTTGAAGACGGAGCTGGAAATGACCAAGAGAATAACTGATGATCGTGTTTTATTTTGCTTTTTGAGTTGTAATGTATTTGTGTGTGAGCTACTTGTATCTGTACTTTGAATTTGATCAATAATAAATGTTGTTTTCTTTTAGATCATGGATCGGTCTCGAATCCAAGATGGAGATGTATGTCTTGCGGATTGTGCCACTACTCATTCTATCCTCAAGGACAGAAAATATTTCGTGAACTTGAA